TGTGCTCACCAGGAAGACAGAGAGAGACAGAGAGATAGAAAGCGAGAAATCACCCTCCAGGCGGGTGGCCACGCCGCAATCCCTTCTCCTCCATTCTCCTCTCGGGATCTTGGGCACGCACGCACACGTGCCTGGCGTGAGTTTTAAGCCACCGGGTCCAGGATGCAAACCACATAGCCATTACACTAACTGCTGGTCTCACCGTGTCAGATTTCTACTTAACCTCACATCATCCAGAACCATTGGACTTCAATTTGGGGCCCAGAATTCTAATTCTTGATTCTGAAAAGCCTGTGTTTGGGGGGGCCCTGCCACATCTTTACACACTCGGCTGACATAATTTTTGGTCCTTGTCTCTTATTTACTGACCAATAAAGAAGGTGGGCAGAAATTGCTGACAGATGAAAACAAATGTCAGGCTCTAGCTGCTATCTTGCATCCCCGCGTGTGTGCACCTAATCTCAGCTGGTCTGCCTGAGACCTCCTGAGTGCCAACCCTAGCCCCCCACATGGCCCCTTTTCAGCTCTGACAAGATGAAAGAAACTACCATGAACCAGGAAAAACTCGCCAAACTGCAGGCACGAGTGTGCACTGGTTGGAAAGTAGCTGCTTGCAGAAAGAAGAAGGTGGTTCATAGAATAGCTACAGATGATAAAAACCTTAGTCCTCCTTAGAGAAGTGAGGTAAAAAAAAACTTCAGTCCTCCTTAAACAGGATCTCTGGTATCGAAGAGGTGAGTATGTTCATGAACCAGGGAACAGTGATTTACTTTATCAACCCTGAAGTTCAGGCATTGATGGCAGTGAATATTGTCATCATTATAGACCATGTGAGACAAAGCAGCTGACAGAGACGCTACCCAGCATCTTAAACCAGCTTGGGACAGACACCTGACTAGTCTAAGGAGACGGACTGAAGCTCTGCCCAAACCATCTGTGGATGGAAAAGCACCACTTGCTACTGGAGAGGAGGAGGATGATGAAGTCCCAGAGCTCGTGGAGAATTTCGATGAGGCTTCCACGAATGAGGCAAACTGAATCGAGTCAACTTCTGAAAGGGATAAACTTGACGATATTACTGGGAGCCACTATTTTATATTATGACTGCTTTTAAAAATTCTGTTTTGTGTATGGATCTGATAAAATCTAGATCTCTAATGGGGCAGACACCTGACTAGTCTAAGGAGACGGACTGAAGCTCTGCCCAAACCATCTGTGGATGGAAAAGCACCACTTGCTACTGGAGAGGAGGAGGATGATGAAGTCCCAGAGCTCGTGGAGAATTTCGATGAGGCTTCCACGAATGAGGCAAACTGAATCGAGTCAACTTCTGAAAGGGATAAACTTGACGATATTACTGGGAGCCACTATTTTATATTATGACTGCTTTTAAAAATTCTGTTTTGTGTATGGATCTGATAAAATCTAGATCTCTAATGGGGCAGACACCTGACTAGTCTAAGGAGACGGACTGAAGCTCTGCCCAAACCATCTGTGGATGGAAAAGCACCACTTGCTACTGGAGAGGAGGAGGATGATGAAGTCCCAGAGCTCGTGGAGAATTTCGATGAGGCTTCCACGAATGAGGCAAACTGAATCGAGTCAACTTCTGAAAGGGATAAACTTGACGATATTACTGGGAGCCACTATTTTATATTATGACTGCTTTTAAAAATTCTGTTTTGTGTATGGATCTGATAAAATCTAGATCTCTAATGGGGCAGACACCTGACTAGTCTAAGGAGACGGACTGAAGCTCTGCCCAAACCATCTGTGGATGGAAAAGCACCACTTGCTACTGGAGAGGAGGAGGATGATGAAGTCCCAGAGCTCGTGGAGAATTTCGATGAGGCTTCCACGAATGAGGCAAACTGAATCGAGTCAACTTCTGAAAGGGATAAACTTGACGATATTACTGGGAGCCACTATTTTATATTATGACTGCTTTTAAAAATTCTGTTTTGTGTATGGATCTGATAAAATCTAGATCTCTAATGGGGCAGACACCTGACTAGTCTAAGGAGACGGACTGAAGCTCTGCCCAAACCATCTGTGGATGGAAAAGCACCACTTGCTACTGGAGAGGAGGAGGATGATGAAGTCCCAGAGCTCGTGGAGAATTTCGATGAGGCTTCCACGAATGAGGCAAACTGAATCGAGTCAACTTCTGAAAGGGATAAACTTGACGATATTACTGGGAGCCACTATTTTATATTATGACTGCTTTTAAAAATTCTGTTTTGTGTATGGATCTGATAAAATCTAGATCTCTAATGGGGCAGACACCTGACTAGTCTAAGGAGACGGACTGAAGCTCTGCCCAAACCATCTGTGGATGGAAAAGCACCACTTGCTACTGGAGAGGAGGAGGATGATGAAGTCCCAGAGCTCGTGGAGAATTTCGATGAGGCTTCCACGAATGAGGCAAACTGAATCGAGTCAACTTCTGAAAGGGATAAACTTGACGATATTACTGGGAGCCACTATTTTATATTATGACTGCTTTTAAAAATTCTGTTTTGTGTATGGATCTGATAAAATCTAGATCTCTAATGGGGCAGACACCTGACTAGTCTAAGGAGACGGACTGAAGCTCTGCCCAAACCATCTGTGGATGGAAAAGCACCACTTGCTACTGGAGAGGAGGAGGATGATGAAGTCCCAGAGCTCGTGGAGAATTTCGATGAGGCTTCCACGAATGAGGCAAACTGAATCGAGTCAACTTCTGAAAGGGATAAACTTGACGATATTACTGGGAGCCACTATTTTATATTATGACTGCTTTTAAAAATTCTGTTTTGTGTATGGATCTGATAAAATCTAGATCTCTAATGGGGCAGACACCTGACTAGTCTAAGGAGACGGACTGAAGCTCTGCCCAAACCATCTGTGGATGGAAAAGCACCACTTGCTACTGGAGAGGAGGAGGATGATGAAGTCCCAGAGCTCGTGGAGAATTTCGATGAGGCTTCCACGAATGAGGCAAACTGAATCGAGTCAACTTCTGAAAGGGATAAACTTGACGATATTACTGGGAGCCACTATTTTATATTATGACTGCTTTTAAAAATTCTGTTTTGTGTATGGATCTGATAAAATCTAGATCTCTAATGGGGCAGACACCTGACTAGTCTAAGGAGACGGACTGAAGCTCTGCCCAAACCATCTGTGGATGGAAAAGCACCACTTGCTACTGGAGAGGAGGAGGATGATGAAGTCCCAGAGCTCGTGGAGAATTTCGATGAGGCTTCCACGAATGAGGCAAACTGAATCGAGTCAACTTCTGAAAGGGATAAACTTGACGATATTACTGGGAGCCACTATTTTATATTATGACTGCTTTTAAAAATTCTGTTTTGTGTATGGATCTGATAAAATCTAGATCTCTAATGGGGCAGACACCTGACTAGTCTAAGGAGACGGACTGAAGCTCTGCCCAAACCATCTGTGGATGGAAAAGCACCACTTGCTACTGGAGAGGAGGAGGATGATGAAGTCCCAGAGCTCGTGGAGAATTTCGATGAGGCTTCCACGAATGAGGCAAACTGAATCGAGTCAACTTCTGAAAGGGATAAACTTGACGATATTACTGGGAGCCACTATTTTATATTATGACTGCTTTTAAAAATTCTGTTTTGTGTATGGATCTGATAAAATCTAGATCTCTAATGGGGCAGACACCTGACTAGTCTAAGGAGACGGACTGAAGCTCTGCCCAAACCATCTGTGGATGGAAAAGCACCACTTGCTACTGGAGAGGAGGAGGATGATGAAGTCCCAGAGCTCGTGGAGAATTTCGATGAGGCTTCCACGAATGAGGCAAACTGAATCGAGTCAACTTCTGAAAGGGATAAACTTGACGATATTACTGGGAGCCACTATTTTATATTATGACTGCTTTTAAAAATTCTGTTTTGTGTATGGATCTGATAAAATCTAGATCTCTAATGGGGCAGACACCTGACTAGTCTAAGGAGACGGACTGAAGCTCTGCCCAAACCATCTGTGGATGGAAAAGCACCACTTGCTACTGGAGAGGAGGAGGATGATGAAGTCCCAGAGCTCGTGGAGAATTTCGATGAGGCTTCCACGAATGAGGCAAACTGAATCGAGTCAACTTCTGAAAGGGATAAACTTGACGATATTACTGGGAGCCACTATTTTATATTATGACTGCTTTTAAAAATTCTGTTTTGTGTATGGATCTGATAAAATCTAGATCTCTAATGGGGCAGACACCTGACTAGTCTAAGGAGACGGACTGAAGCTCTGCCCAAACCATCTGTGGATGGAAAAGCACCACTTGCTACTGGAGAGGATGATGATGATGAAGTTCCAGAGCTCGTGGAGAATTTCGATGAGGCTTCCAAGAATGAGGCAAACTGAATCGAGTCAACTTCTGAAAGGGATAAACTTGACGATGTTACTGGGAGCCACTATTTTATATTATGACTGCTTTTAAAAATTCTGTTTTGTGTATGGATCTGATAAAATCTAGATCTCTAATATTTTTAAGCCAAAGTCCCTTGGGCACTGCAGCTCTTTTCAGTTTTTGCTTATACACAGTTCATTCTTTGCAGCTAATTAAGCTGAAGAAGCCTGGGAATAAAGTTTGCGATAAAGGTTAATAAAGTTCCTTGCCTAGCCTAGTTAAAAAAAAAAAAAGAAAAGAAAAGAAAAGAAGAGAAACACACATGCAGAAGTGTTCTTTTTCATATATTCAGGAAAGACAGCATACAAACAAAATTTTAAGACATTACTAGCATCATAAAATGGTGATTGAGAGTTAAGCAAATAAAGGACAAGGAAGGAAAGAAAGCAGTTGACTTTCCAAATGAGTTAAGTCAGAGTTGTTCGAAGTGTGTTCCAAGGAACTTCAGTCTGGTAAGACAGCACTGCATGAAGAAAGGCGTGTGAGGTTGGAGACATGGAGCCCATCTTGGAAAGCCCACAGTGCACATGGGAACGGTCTTAGAAACCTGGCAGTTTCTGAAGACACACACTCACTCAGCAGAACACTGAGAAACACCAAGCAACATCGACGTCATCAAGTACCTCACGTGTGAGTGCACACATGTGTGAATTCCTTTGCTTCTCCAATAGGAAACTTGTCTTAATTTCCTTTCGTGTGCTGTAATTTGCATCCTGGATTGAGCTTTTCTATCCTGATTATGGTGAGCTGCGACTGTCTTGCTGCCTGGAAATCCTCCTTAGATTCTATTACTTAAATGCTCCATTGGTTAGTGGCTTTTTTTGAAACCCAGTCTGTTTTGGCATGCTCTTCCATTCTTTCCCCTTAAATAAACATCTTGTCCTTGGACTCTGT